ACAGGTCTGTTTCATTATTTGGCTACTTATTCCTCCTGAGGCTGGCTACCAATGTCCAGCAATCAAAAGCCCCATTGGTTCACCTAATTAACATGCCCCAATTAAAATTTAACACCTCATCCTCATCCTAACACAGGGTTTCTCCACTTACCTTTATAAACCACTATTTGCCTATATGCCTTATCTATCTCCTCTCTATCCAAAACCAGTCCTTTGTCCCTCTAGGACAAATAACCTTTCCCCCCTTTTCTTTGTCCCTTTTCCCTTCTCATTTGTCCCCTATCTCATTTACTACTGCATCCTAGTCTGTTCTAACACAGGCCTCCCCTTTTCTCCTCTTAAAATTACACCTGCAAGGTCATTTGCTGCTGTCAAATCCTCTGGAGCTGCAGTTACAGATAGCTTTGAGTCGCTATGTGGATGCAGGGAATAAAACCTGGATCATATAGAAGAGCAGCTAGCGCTTTTAACTGTTGAGTTGTCTTTCCACCCCTAATTTTCTTTATTTAAAGATAATGCTTGCTTTGGCAGCACACATATTAAAATTTGAATGCTATGGAGATTATCATGGCCCCTATGTAAGGATGACATGCAAATTTGCAAAGTCTTTCATATTTTAAAAAATTATCAGACTGAAACTGCACACCAGATACTGTGATAGACATATAACCCATGAGATGATAAACGCATCTAACCACAAATGCACATGGCACATTCATGGTTGGGTAGCTGGCTGTGTAACGGGACAGACAGACAGGTAGTGAAGCCAGTGCGTCAGTGACAGGTTCACAGATGAACACCTCAGGAGTCATCCTGCTTAGGCAAGAGTTCACAGGTATCAGTCTTTTGTTGCCTCATGTGTTGATACTTTGTCATTCCGTGTTACTTGGGAGTGGCTGAGATGAGGTGGGCAGCCTGTGAGAACCGACAGTGTTGGGCATGCAGCAGGAACAGTGAGATGGGCAGCTCCACCCTTGCCAATGGGGCAGCTGGTTCTGGAGCACTTAGAGTAATGCATGGAACTCAGGAAGCAGGGAGGTTCCCAGAGGGCGGGCAGCACACATAAAGTTCATATCGGAGATCAAAGTGTTATATAAAGGAAAAGCCAGAATATTGTGCTCAGTAAAATGCTGATTCAGGGGCCCCCGTATTCCTGGCTTTACACCCTGATTCTATAGGTGACAACCATGTTAAGATGTGGGTGTTTGGGAAAAGATCAGGCTCCTGCATGTTGAAAGCACAATGGAGTACAGATGTCAGAATCAAGACCTATTAAACTTCATCTGCTGAACAGCTGTGAATCTGTCACTTGGATACCTCTAAGTTTCAGACATGGGTCACAAAAGGAACTAGCTCCTTTAGGCTGGGATTCCCAGGGAAAATCAGCTGGCAGGTGATTAATGACAAACACGGTAGTGATTTTGTGTACATCTGACGTAGTGCAGTTGATGCAGGGTACTCACACCCATGGAAGGTGCGTTTAAATTAGCTTTGTCAAAGTTTCCTGTTAACACTAGAGATACATTTCCTTCTGATTCTCATTCAGACAGTGGGGCATGAATTACAGCCTCTAAGCTGCACAATAGTTTTCAGTTTCCATTTTCTGGTGGAATGGTTTTGTCCACTGGTTCTGGGTTCATGGCTGTCAGTTTACACAGCAAGACCACATGTATGTGGTGACAGCTCCTAGTCCACTGTTGTGGAATATTTGTTTACATTGTGTGAAGATGTGTCATTGTGATTGGTTCAATAAAAAGCTGAATGGCCAATAGCTAGATAGGGTAGGTTAGGTGGGACTTTGGGGCAGAGAGAAGAATTCAGAGGGTTAGAATCTAGGTGCGGGAGACACCCGACAATACATGGAGTAAGTCAGACATACAAAATAGGAAGAGGTAAAAGACACATGGTAGAACATAGATTAATAAAAACAGGTTAATTTACGTTATAAGAGCTAGTTGGGAACAAGCCTAAGCTAAAGAACAAGCTCTCATAATCAATATTAAGTTTTTGTGTCATTATTTGGAGCCTGGCAGCTGACAAAAAAAGTTTGACTATGGCCCACCTAATCATCCTGAACAGCTTTGGGTCATATTTTGTAGATAACTTGACAACATTTCTGGCCCATGATGGAGTGACACCCAACGGTTTCTCCAGCATCAAGTCATGAGCATCTTGTGGTGACAGATTTAAGCATGGCATCTGAGGGTCCCACTTCAAGGAGTTGTGTTTTCCTAGAGAGTGGGTTTAACCTGGACATGGTCAGGGTGTCTCCTGCCTCTCTTTGGAAACTCCTTTCTTTATTAAATTATAAAGATTTTGAAATCCCTGAGTCCTTGGATCTTGGAGTGAAAATAATCAGCCTCGGCTTTCAAATTCAATTAACCTCTGGATTTCCAGGTACAGTTTTCATGTTTCATACCTAGACTGCCATCAGTTTCTCCTGCATTCTCAACTGAAAATGAGCCCAGAGTTCTGGGATGTCCCTTTGTTTTACTCTGAGATCTAGAATGGGTTTGGAGTCTGGCAGGTGGATGAGAGAAGTGAAGGAAATGATTGCAACCCACCAGGAGAGAAGTCTTACATTTTAGGTTTCAAATATGGAAAAGCACATTCTTAAAAAGGGCTTTTGGGTCATATGCTATGCTATTAGATCTGAATATTAAAAATTCAAATATAAGAATGAGAAGATTGTTTCTGCAGATCTCTTGATAAGTTTCTAGGGAGGGTCAAGGACCAGGTGATCAAGAACACAGATTAATTTATAAGCTGTGTGTTCTGGGTCCTGGGACAAAGCAGGTTCTCCCCTGTAAAATGTGTGCCTTTTCAGAGAAATGATCATACAGGTTACTTACAGAATTGAATGTTCATCTCTTAGGGGCTTCTCACAAAGTAAGCTCTAGTGAACTCTTGATTAGATCATTATATAAATTCATAATCTGACCTGTATTTCTCGCTTCCCCTCCTGCCTTGTCCTAGCTGTATGGTATTCATATTGTCATCATCTTTTCTGAATCCTCAGCTCCCTCTTTCTTCTTGATGTACTGTTTTTAACTTGATGTCCTCCCCTAATCCCTAATCTCCCTGTTAGAGTTTTTTTTTGGTATGTTCCTCCTATACAATCTTTCTTTACTTCTTACTGAAGTTGGAAGTTTTCAGTCTTTGTGTTACTGGCATCTTGGAACAACTATTTCCTTGCTGGGGAAGCTAGCCTCTGTTTTATACAATGTTTATCCCTGGCTTCTACCTACAAAATGCCAGCATCATTCATCGTAAGATTATTTTAATTAATATTTTAAAATAACACAAGATTATGTTAATGAATAAAATGTATTAACATGCAAAGATTTAGGTTTAATTATGAGTATTTTCACAAAGTCTGTTTCTCTTTCCTCCTCTCCCCATCACCTGTTCCTCCGTTGTCACTCTTTGCCACTCTTACCTCACTATTTTCCTTTCTACTTTCAAGTTAAATGTCACCTTTTGTTGCTCCCTCCATTCTTCCCTCCTTTCATGGTCTTGATCTAGTGTCATAGTCTACACCCATCCCCACACACCCCTTTTTTCACATACACATAAACATCAATATCCTCCTGTGAGAGAGAACATGCAGGTTTTGCCTTTCTGAGTCTGGGGGATCTCACTTCATAAGAAAACTTACAGGCTCATTCTTTTCCTTGCAAATTTCAGTTTCAGTCTTCTTTACTGGCAAGCAAAATTCCATTGTGTACACATGCCACATTTTTATTACCATTCTTCTGTTGATAGACAACTAGGCTGGTTCCATTTCCTTGCTATCATCAGTAGATAAGCGATAAACATGGGTGTGTGTGCAAGTGTCACTGTGGTTGGATATGAACCCCTCTGTGTGTGTGCCCAGAAACAGGACAGCTGAGTTATATGGTAGTTCTGGTTTTGATTTTTGAGTTTACATACTGACTTGTAGAGCAGGTTTACTCTTTTATCTTCCCACCACAGTTACTCTTCCCTAGGAACTTGCTTGATACCGATACGTTATCATTCACTTTCTTGATCATAGCCATTCTGACTAGATGAGGTAGAATCTCATATCATTTTTAAGTTGCATTTCCCTGATTCTAAGTTCATTTTTATGGCCAATTTTGTCTATGAGTATTTCTTTTTTGGGGGGGAGGTTTATTTTTTGTTTTTATTTTGGCAAGGTTTTAATATTAAGTCCAGGCTGAACTTGAACTTGTAGTCCTTTTGCTTCAGTCTCTCCTTAGTGCCAAGATTTCATGCTTGCACCAACACACCAGCTGAAATGGATGCATTTTGATGGAACACCAGGAGGCCCCTTCCTAACAAAGAATTCATTTTGTCACTAGGCATATGGAGACTATCATGAAGGTTTTTGGTAATAGCTTTATTTAGGTATAACTAAGTGATTAGAGAATTCAACTTTTTAGTGCCTCTGTAGAGTTGTATACAGGTACCAATTTTATACTTAATTACTTTAAAAGAAATTATTTCATTCTTTCAAAAGTAATTCTATTTCTTTTGCCAGGCACTCCACCTTCATGCTTCGTATCTGTCTTCTTTCCTACTCCAAACTCCAGCTAACACTAATGTGGTTTCTATCTCTATTAGGGGTCTATGAGTATTTCTATACACTTTTTGGAAAAATACAACATACCTACTTTTTAAAAAATGGGTTACTCTGTTTGAATACTTACTGAACTGCCAATTCATTGTGCCTTAATTAGATGCTAGAAGTCAAAGTGAACTGTAGCTCCTCCCAGTAGGCACAGGGTTCCACTGGGAGATGGATGTGCACCCCACACTTCATTAGAGACCTTGGCCCTGTCCATTTCCTCACCTGCTGCTTCAACTGAAGTGAGCATGAACAGACCTGACAGACCTCTAAACTTTTCCTAATGTAGAGCTATGGCTTTGTGTAGTGCTGGAGCTGAGAGTTAGAGGGGGAGGGGCACATGCCTGCTACCTGAGGAGGAACAGAGAACAATGACAGTGAGACACCAGTGTGATAGGGATGGAATCTTTATTCTTGGTCAGAGTCAGGGACAGGCACTGCCACTCCACAGGAAGGGTGGGGACTGGGGGCCCTGGACATCTGACAAGCAGAGAAGGGCCTCTGGGAATGAACAAGACAGGCTGTGCTTTCCATGGCCCTTGGAATTCTTGTTTCCCCCAAATTCTCTCGTGTCAGGCTCAGGATTCAGGTCAGCAGCAGCCCCCAGAGCTGTGCCCACAGCCCGAGTCCCCTGACTGTTGACCGCTGCCACGGTCACAGGATCTGGAGGAGCTCCTGTGCCTGCATCTGTGGGACCTGCGCCTGTGGTGGCTCAGGAAGCAGCCTCCCTCAGAGCTGGGAACACTGCAGCCCCCAGAGCTTGTAGCACAGCAGGAAGAGGCTGCAGGCAGACACTGTGCTGTGCTCTTTGGAGGGCACTTGGGAGAGAGGCACTTGGGAGGAGGCTGGCATTGCTTCTGGTTCTGCTGGCAGGACATCTTGGCAGGAGTCAGTCAGCCTGGGTAAGCAAAGAAAGCAACTGTCAGTAATCTACAGTCCAGTGTCTCCTGGTCTCTGATTTTGTCCCCTTTCTGGGCCAAGAATGCAGGAAGGAAAGCTGGTGTGAATGAAACTTATTGGATCATGCCAGGTGCCTCTCCCTCTGTTCTCTACCCAGGTACTAGAAGCACAGGTAGAGTATGTGTGGGAATCTGGCTTTCCATGTCTTTGAAGAATACCCAGCAGGTGTACCTGTCAGGGAAGAGTGACTGGGAGTAGGGGTGTCATAGGAAGTAGAGTGGACACTTGAATGAAAAGGAGGCAAAGCATGGGAAGTGTATGCTAAGCTCCTGTGGCCTTTGTAGGTGGAAGAATTTTTGTCATACCCCACCCCCATTCTACCGTTTTGAATAATCGCCTACTACAAACTCATTGTTTGTGTGTTCTTTAATTGAATACTTATTTTCCCTATTGCACTTCGTGGCGTTTGGGTTATTATGGAAGGCCTTATGCCTTTTCTCTCTTCCCATGTGATCATAATTGTTAAGATAAAATGTGAAGGGAGGCTTGGCAAGTTCCATGACAGGCAAGGGTGACCAAGGCAGACAGAGCTTAAATGAAAAGTTTTATTAGAAAGGGGAGGGAAGGGGAAAGAAAAGAGAAAAGAGGTAAAGAGACACAAACAGAGACACGCAGAGAGGACAGAAGATAAGAGGGAGACAGGAAAAGTCCTGTCTACTCCAGGGGAACAGCAGGAAAGAGAGTATAAGCTGGCAGAGGTCTTTCTTTTAAAGGAGTCCTTTCCACTTGCATGCTGACCAGGGCACTGCCTGAGTGCATTCTGCCAGGTGACAGGGGCAGGCCAGCATAATGCCTGAATCCTTACACCAATGTCCCCTCCAACTTCTCATGCCAAGGCCCACCCTTGCTGGATACTCACTCAATGCAAAGGACGCAGGAGACGTCTGTGTCTGAGATTGCTGTGGCATAGGAGCCCAGGACTGGAGCTCTTTTATCCTGTGCAGTTGGTGATATCACCAGGTTTGTCCCTGCTTTCACAACCAGACGAGGTGTTACCTGAACATATGTCTAGAACTTCCATAAAGTCCAACTGAGGACAGAACCAGGAAGAAGGAAGATTGTCGTCTCCTGGAAACTGCCCTTCCTTCCTTCTAACCCCTCCCTTCTTTCTACTTCTTTTTCCTTTTTCCTCTTTTAGGTCATATGCCTTGGGGTAGTACTTCCCTTGGCATGATTGTGAATGACTTCTCTACATGCACACACACACAATAACTCACAAGAACACATGATAAATGATAAATATTGTAATGCCCACAGACCCCATGCTGCCAAATAAACATGGGCAGGTGTAATTCACTGCTGCCTGCTGAGTTCTAGCAGTGGTGTGCCTAGGAAGTGGTGGGGAAGGGTGTGAAGCCTTGTTCGGTCACAGTCCCTGGGATGTCCTCATGGCTTCTAACAGTAGCCTGGACTTCCTGAGCACTGAAGTGTAGAAGCAAGTTGTTAACTTTTAATAGATAAGTAATTGTACTACACAGATGGAGATATCTTCAGTGTGACGTTAGTGAACTCATGTGAGCTGAAATCTGACTGAATTATTGTAATATCATGCTATGCTCAAAGAAAAACATAACTTGGGCTACAGTTAACAACTTTAATAATTAACATACAATTAAAATACATTGGTTGTTATAATATCACATCATACATTTGTATTTTCTTACAGAGAAAATATTTGTGGCTTAGAACTACCTGTAAAAAGCAGGCGATGAATAGTGTACACAGTTAATTATATATTATCATTAATTGTACTACAAATAAAAATATAGTAAATGTATCTAGTTATTTATGGTCATTGAAATCTCTATGATAATCTAGACAATTACATTTTCCTCACTTTATTCTAACATTAGCCAATTCTAATGCATTGTTTCCTTTCTGGGTCAAGAACTGAAGGAAGGTGGATAGAACCCAATGGACCATGCCAAGTACCTCCCACTCTCTTCTCTACCCAGGCACTAGAAGCACAGGTAGAGTCTGTGTGGAAATCTGCATTTTACTGTATTTTGTGAATGCCCAAAAGATGTACCTGTTTGGGAGAAGCAATCTGGAGTATAGGTGCTATTAGTGATTTTATGGCCCTTTATGGACGGGACTTGCAATGACTCTGAGTAATGTAGCCTGGGATGGACACTGTAGAGCAGGTAGCAAGGGAAGGAATCTGCCTGCATTATTTTCTCCTCAGAATGAGGTTCTTGGTCCCTGGTGCTTCCCTTTCAATCTTAACCTCATTGCAGTTTCATGAGCCATTTCTCTTACATTGTTGAGAGCCTGTAGCTAGATACTGGAAGAGAAAGGGGATTAGATGAGTGGTGAAAATATAGACAGGTTTGCATGAAGACTCGGTGATGCGGACACAAAGGAAGAGAAGAGTGGAAAATGCACCTCTGACCTCAGCAGCCGTGCTGGGCAGTGCACGCCTCAGACAAATGCCCCAGGAGTGTGGTTCAATTCCTTCTGGGTTTTCCTGAGAGCTCTGAGTTTACAGCTTATATCCCAATGTAGTTCTTCAGAAGTGCCTTTCTATAGACCAGTGGTTCTACACCTTCCTAATGTTGTAACACAGTCCCTTATACTGTTGAGACCCCCAGCTATAAAATTATTTTTATTCCTACTTTGTAACTGCAATTTTGCTACTGTTATGAATCAAAATGTAAATATTTGTGCTTCTCAAAGGTCTTAGTTGACCCCTACAAAACTGTTGTGACCCACAGGTTAGGAACTGCTGGTACAGATGATCACATAGGGAGCAGAGGTCAACCACATAGAGGCGATGTTGACAGCACACTAGAGTATAGCCTGACCCCGTATGTGACTTCACAAAAACCAGAGCCACTCCTTCCTAAGGATCATTATTGTCTCTTTTCCTGGAATTTCTTCTTACTTGGTCATTAACTCCCAATACCTGTCTTCAACTGCATGTCAACTGTGTGTTTAGCACTGAGGACACAGCTGTAAATAGGAGATCCAGCTTGTCAGTACTGATGCATTATAATCCCCCAAAGGTAAATATACCAATGATGAACTGCAGATGTGATGTACATAAAAGAAATTATAGGTTCTGTGGGGGTATGCAAGAAGAAGTCTTAACATCACTAGGGATTCAGATCTTTGGGTAACTGAATGGCTTTTCAATTGACTTATTGCTCTGTAGAAGTAACTAAAGACTCCTCTTGGTTTAAACAAGGTTAATCTTGAGTCACAAGGCAGCAACTGAGGAGAAGGATTCAATAGCTGGTCAATCCCAAGGTTTCTGGGTGACTCAGCTCCTTAATTCCTCTGAGCCATTTGGGTACTGAAACCATGAGCTAAGGAAGGAGAGGTTGAGCCTGGTGGGCTTTGTCACCAAGGCTGTCTGACTGGCTTCTATGACCATGTGGCACACCCCTTTGTAGATTCTAAGCAGTCATGTGGAATCTACTGGTGACTGCTTGAGTTGTTGCTCGTTCTTAGCTACTATGATTTAGGCAGATAGGGTTACTATGGTTGTACCTTCTGCGTCATGTTACAAGTACATCCCAGAAGACACTCACAGCTTCCAAAAGTATACTTTTGTATAAATGTAGAGAAATCCACTGCATCAGTTCTAGGGAAATGTGTGAAATAGCTAAGACAAGAGCTCACATCAAAACAAAGGGAAGCTAAATACAAAGAAACGTTTCCATAGAAACAGAGAAGTAACTTAACAAAACCAGTAGCAACCGATAGCAAAAACTTACAGTAAACAAATATCAACAAATGGAGCATCTTCCATTTGAAAAGGGGAGACAGCCAAGCCTTATGACTAACATGCTGGGTAGTGAGAATGGACCCTTGGTTCCTAAGATGAAGAGCAGCTCAGACATAGATTTATGATGTTTAGTGACCCAGCGTATACTTCAAACAAAGACACAAAGACAGTTTGCAGGAGGAAGGACGTGTCAGCGGGGATGGAGGAATGTTTCACAAGACCCCACACCTAGATGAAGAACTACAGACAATCAATGGCTGCTGAGGGTGGGAAAACCAGGTTTTTTTGTTTTGTTTTCCTTTTTCTCCCCAAGGGCTCGGCAGGTTGTGTGTGTGTGTGTGTTGGGGGCGGGATGATATATGAATATATGAATATGAAGTCATGAATTTGAGAGAGGATGTTCATGGGGGTGTGGGGGTGTGGGGGTGTGGGGAGGAACTGGAAGGGGGTGTGAAAAGGATTCAAATGCAACAAACACATTGTCCGAATGTACAAAATCCTCAAATAAAATAAATAAAAATTTAAAAATCGGTGCTGAAGGATTTGGATATCTGCATGTTAAGCAAAACATATTTAGTACTATGTGTGTGTGTGTGTGTGTGTGTGTGTGAAAAACATGAATAATAGGTTGTTATGCAAAACACAAACACTTCTAAAATACAATATGTGGCACAGTTTTGTGACTGATTATGTAATTTTTAATGGTAGTTTTCCATATATGACAAAAAGACACAGTTCAAAAGGAAAATATCGAACTTCACAAATAGGTTATTGAGGTAGTGGTGCATGATTAAACATGTCTGTAGTGGTGCACGACTAACTTCAGTACTCGGGAGACTGAAGCAGAAGGGTCATGCATTTTTTAGACACCATAGGTTACAGTGAGAATAATACAAAGAACAAACTAAAGCAAAGAACTAAAACGTCTGTTTTGCAAATGGCTGCTGAAGAGTTCATATTTAATATTCACAAGATTTATAAGGCACAAGTCTGATTGAAGGTTTGTGTCTAGAATATTCCTAAAACAGTGAAACCCATTGATAAATGGACAATCTGTTGGGTAGTAGTGGCTGTAATCCCAGAACTCGGAAGGCAGAGGCAGGCAGATCTCTGTAAATTCAAGGCCAACCTAGTATACAAGAGCTAGTTCCAGAACAGCCAGAGCTGTTTGTTATACAGAAAATCCCTGTCTCGAAAAGCCATAATAAAAAAAACAAAACAAAACAAAGGACAATCTGATTAAAATAGGAATTATTTAAAGAGACGGCTATTTCAACAAAGAAGATACCTGGATGACAAATTAGCCCAGTGCATGACTCAGTAGGGAAATGCAATTAAGAGCAAAATGACAGACTGCCTGCACTCACTTCACCAGCTAAAGCAAAGCTCTTACCTGGCAGTGTGGAATCCTGTCCAGGCTGGGGAGTGACTAGACTCTGCCACCAGTGGCAGGAAGACAAATTTACAACCATGACAGAAGTTTCTTTAAAAGTGTCACTAACAACTAAACATATGCTTGCTGTTTGCCTTAGAAATTCAATTCTTTAGTATTTACCCAAGGGAAAGAAGTCATATTCAAAGGGAAGCTCGGTACTCACAGATGTGGTACTTTTCTTCATAATTGTTTCAAACTCAAAGCCTCTTGAAAGATATTGAACTTGCTAATGGGTTAAGGAAAAACAGGGTGTGTATATGTATGTATATGTTTATACATGTATATATATATAGCATATATATATACACACACAATGGAGTGGTATTTAGTAATAAAGAAGGGGGGACTATTGATTTATGAAACAATAGGAATGAATTTAAGATGTCAGAATCCAGACTTTAAGTGCTTCCCTCTCTGTTTCTGTCTCTGTCTCTGTCTCTATCTCTGTCTCCCCCCCCCCTCTCACACACACACAAACACACACAGGGCAGATGCATTTCTGTCAAAACAAAATACTTATGCACAAACAAAGCTAAGTCAAGGGACAACTGATAGGGTGGGAAATATTTGTGAATGATACATCTTATTATAAAGAGTTACTATACCAATATATTAAGAATACAAACATCTCAATAGCAAGGAATAAAAAAAAACCTGAGCTTAAAACTGGAGAAACAACCTGAGGAAATATTTCTTAAAAGAAGACATACAAATAGCCTGTAGATGTAGGAAAAAAGTTTTTTTAATCTCTAGTCATCAGAGAAATGTGAATTAAAAACACTTAAATTTACACTTGTTAGAATGGCTATTAGTAAAGACACAAAGTAGAACAAGTATTGCCAATAATTTTTTGTGTGGGAGAATGCTTATTTGAAATGTAAAGTGTTCCAGTCATTATAGAAGATAGTATAGAGAGGTCCTAAACACTTAAAAATTAACTGCTGTATGATCCTCAATCTCATTAGGCGTGTGTACACCACAAAGGAAGGGTTATTCAGATACTCAATATATATATATATATATATGTGTGTGTGTGTGTGAGTGTGTGTGTGCGTGTGTAATATATATATATGTGTGTGCGTGTGAGTGTGTGTGTGCGTGTGTGTATGCAAGAACCATAATAAAGAATCTGCTTAAATGTGTATCTGCGGATGAATGCATATAGAAGATGAGGCATATATAAGCAACAATATTAATCAGCCTTAAAAAGTAGGTAATCCTGTCATTTTTTGACAATATGAATGAACCTGGAAGATATCACATTAAGAGAAGTAAGCCATAAACAGAAAGATCAATTTTTCATGATGTCACTTACATTTGGATTCTAAACTGAATTGCACTCATAGACACAGAGTGGAGAATGGGGGTTGCCAGATACTAAACGTAGTGTGAGGAAATTGAGATCTTCCTTCTTAATAAGAAAAGTTGTGAGTCTTGTCACCTCTAGAGTGCTAAGTCCCTTCTCTGTAACTGGTCTCAGGTGTTGTTCTGTGTCCTTATTGTACACACGGCACCCTTCAGGATTACCCTTCCTCTGTTGCCACTATCAGAGGACCCCTGAAGGTCCCATCCCATCAACTTTTGGTCTGCAGTGCAATGGGTGCTTGACTTACAAAGGCTAGGGCCTTATGCTCTAACTCTTCATGAATACTTCCAGGATAGCACTGATCTTATCAGGTCAAATATATTTAATTTTTGAATGATGGGCATGACATACACATCTCCATGTTAATACTGTTGAGTGATGAAACAGGATTAGAGCTTGTGAATGAATGGGCAAAGGTGAGACAATATCTGGGGAAGAACAAAAGGAAGTGATTTTGCAGTTGCAAGTGCATCCTGGTCCCACCTTACCAGTTCTTCAGGCACATGCACAGGAAACCACCAGAGGACAGTAACTGGGCAGAGTCTAGCACTGTCACCTCCTCCATTGTGAAAAGAGCAACATGCTTGGGTGATGCTTCACCAGCTCTACACAGAATAAAAGGGCTCCTTATCCACAGCCTTCTCAGAATCTCTCTGCTTTCCTTTGCATCGGGTAAGTGCCCTTCTGGGACCACTTCAGCATGCAGAGTGTGTGGGACAGACAAGCCAGATCTAAACTAGAACCCCAGAAAGAGGTCCACAATGGGCAGTGGGTGGCCCTTGGGGAGTAATGGTGAGGGAGGAAGGAGTCTTTGTGTTGGACAGGGAGCTTTCTGTCATTGCTCTGAGCATGTGGATCTATCTGACGCTCTGTACAGATGAATGTGTGCCTACATGCTCCCCCTTTATTTCACAGAAATCTCGGTTTAGGAAGCCCATAAGTCTTGGGAGGCATATGTGTAAAAGACTAAGTCAGGAGATATACACTGGAAACCTCTTTCTATAATGTTTCTATTATACTTTTCTAGGTCAAATTTCTGCCGAGATGTCCTGCCAGCAGAACCAGAAGCAATGCCAGCCTCCTCCCAAGTGCCCCTCCCCCAAGTGCCCTCCAAAGAGCACAGCACAGTGTCTGCCTGCAGCCTCTTCCTGCTGTGCTACAAGCTCTGGGGGCTGCAGTGTCCCCAGCTCTGAGGGAGGCTGCTTCCTGAGCCACCACAGGCGCAGGTCCCACAGATGCAGGCACAGGAGCTCCTCCAGATCCTGTGACCGTGGCAGTGGCCAGCAGTCAGGGGACTCAGGCTGTGGGCACAGCTCTGGGGGCTGCTGCTGACCTGGATCCTGAGGCTGAGACGACAGAGTTCGAGGAAACAGAGAACACCAAACAGTAGCCCCATCATGACCTGTTATTTCTCAGACATCCTAATCACTCTTGGGCTAAGTGTTCTTGTGCTCTTCTGATGAATTCTCCAAAACCTTGGTTATCTTCTCATTCTGATGATTACATTGCCTGTGTCTAGCCATGTAGGTGAATAAAACTGTCAACAGCACCTGTGTGTTATCTGTCGCTTGACTTATTCCACCCAAGGCTGCACACTGGGTTTTTCTTTTCTCAGCTCTTGAAGGTCCAATATATCCAACGCCTGTGATGATTTTAGCTTGGGGATGAAGAAATCATGCCTTAGATTCTTCTCCATACAGAGAGATTATTTGGGAACTTCCAGCATAGAAGTGTGGGTGGAAGGGGGTGGTGTTAGGTTTCTGAAGATCTTTTGGGGAAAGGGCTGACTTTCCTTGTGTAACTTAAGGATTGGCATTATTTGATACTGAAATCCCTAGTCTCTGTGTAGGATGGCAGGAAGGATGAGAAAGATGGTAAGAATGAGAGCAAAAGGATGGAGGATGGGGAGAAGGGTCTGTAGGTAGAAAACCAAGCCAAGCTACATATAATAGATTCCAGAGGGTGAGCTGAGTGACTGAAAAAAAACTCTGAAGAAACTAGAGTTGGGGGATTTTCCTGACTGTTGAAAAAACTGAGATAAAAGGATGTAGGAAGTGTCTCAGGGGCTACAGATTGGAGACTTCAATTTCTCTTACAAGATGAAGAGCAAAATGATGTGTGATTGGTAAAGGGCCCTATCTGGGGTTACCTGCCTCAACTTTGGAGTGGAGCAGTATTTATTTCTACTGTGAACCAAGGTGGCCATTTTCCATGTGAACTGTGAATGTGTTTTCATATTGATAGTTTGGGTTTTGAAATGTTACAGAATGTATGCCCTATGGTTCTTGAACTAACTTTAGAAAGATGCCCAAACCTTGCCTCAAAGTTGAAGTTCTTGAGTATGGAGGCTCTAGACTAAGGACAAAATCCATGCAAAGTGTTGGGAATTTAACTTGGATAAAATACCTTGAACAGCTTTGCTCTTCTCTAAAGGCCATCTGGAAACACACTTCGCATTAATATTCCTGGACATATACTTTCTTTTGAAAGAGAAGGTACCATATCTAATAAAGTCTGTGCCACCTCCGCTCTGCTACTCAAGTCACACAGCCGACTGGGACAGAGTACTCTGAGAGAGTAGCCATAGACATGGGACTTCCTTTTGAGCAGGACTGAGGATTCGCACAATAGGATTCATGATCTCAAGATGTTTTGGGGGAGTACTCTACAGAGTCAGAATTAAAATGCATCACAGACAAAAGGGAAAAATGGATAAGTTCTTTTTGAGGACATACGGTCTCATACTTAGCTGTGTTGAACACCTAGAATCATCAACACTGGTGAATCTGTTCTGGTTTACCTGGAGCACAGTGAACCCATGTACATTTCAGGATGGATAGACTAAGACTTATCAGTCAAGTTCCAGCTGCACACAGCAGTAGGGAAGATTAGCAGGTCAAATCCCAGCTCTGTAGACTCAACACTGAGCAAAACTTCTGACCTCTCTGTGGCTACTCCCCTCACCCAAAGTAAGGGACAGTCATAGTTCCCTTGGAGAACTAGATGGTTCATGTTAATACATGCTATTATGCAAAGCATTGCTTAAATGCTAATTCTCATCATTTCTTCTTTAGTTTGAAAATTGAGAAACAAGGCTCAGGGTTCAGAGGCTTCAAAGTCAGATTAGAGCATTTGTATTCCCCTTGGTAGTGGTCAGCAGTGGAGGATGAGTAAACCCAGGCCTGAGCAAAGAGTTAAGGGGTGAAAGTGCTTGACTGGGTAGGGTGTTGGGAAGTCAACAGCTTTAGTAATGGGGACTTCTGCAGGCCCTAGTTACTGATGTTTCCACCACATCACCCCACTTCATGGAACATCTAAGTTTAAAAGAGGAGACAAGAACAAGTCATACCAGTGTGTGGTGCTGGTTCCAGGAATTTTATAGACTTTCCCAATATTTCTCTCAAATGTTTAATCCTAGCCTTGAAGTCAGCAGCAGCCCTCAGAGTTGCACACACAGGCAGAATCCCCAGACTGCTGACCATGCTGCTACCACAGGAGGCACAACTCCAACCCTAGTGTCTGTGGCACCTGCAACAACTGTGGTGGCTTAAGCAGCAGATGCCCTTAGAACTGGGTTCACTGAAGCCACCGGAACTTGTAGCACAGCAGGAGGAGGCCACAGGCAGACACTATTCTGGGCTCTTTGGAGGGACGCTTGGTTGAGGAACACTTGGGAGGAGTGGACACAGTTGCTGGTTCAGTGGCAGGATGTTTCAGCAGGAGTCAATGAGTTTGTGCTAACTAAAAATAAAATAGTAAAACTAAACTAACAGAATAAGCCAACACATGGGCTTCAGATTAGTGTCTCCTCATTCTTTAGTTGGAGATATTTACCCTTTCATTCAGCCAAGATCTAGAGGAGGGAAATGGACTTTTTTGGAACTAGATTGGCCAATTAAGCTATGGTTCTTTCTTGGTCTGTCTTTCTGCAGAAGAGCAATTGGCATTCTTCTGGATGAGCTTCCCCTTCAACACAGTGTGGGTTATCACAAAGACCTTAAGTGAACAGTGCCCCCTGCAGGTTTTCAGTGCACAAGACACACAATGACCCATTGTTTTCCAAGGTGTCACCTCTCTCTCTCTCTCTCTCTCTCTCTCTCTCTCTCTCTCTCTCTCTCTCTCTCTCTCTCTCTCTCCCCCTCTCATTTGTCTGTGAAGAATGTGAAAATCAGTGAGAGTTTGAGGAGTCAGCAAGTGTCTCACCAGGCATGACAGGGAGGGGATGGGATCCCGAGGTCATTCTCATCACAGAACACTGCCATGGCTCATGGATCTTCATCTTCATCCCCTTCTTCCACTGTTGCCATTCCTACCATACACCAGGGTCTCTGCCACCTGCCACTGACCTGTCTTCTTAGGAGTCTCCATGTTGAAACACAGGCATGTCTGCTCAACTCTGTTGTCTCAGGTTCACTTCCCAGATGAGCACCTACTAGTTCTAGCTAAGAACTGTTTTGCACTGACTGCATACCAAGTAACCCAGGACTTCAGACTTTTCATCTTTAGCTGGGTTTTATGGTTCACACATGTGTGCCTTTGTTTTACCCTAGGGGAAGAATGATAGCACTGTACGCTAATGTTTCCCTCTGCACATTTCAAGGAATTATCCAAACGAAGAAGAGAATCGTAGTGAGCGTTACCCTCAGCTCAGGCCCTGTGGCAGCCATTGTACCTGTATGTTTTGTTCTTCTCACATAACCCTACCCAGAATATGTTGTGTTCATTGGCAATATGGAGACAGACAGAGTATATTTCTGCCCTTGACTACCTCTTAGAGTCTCAGAAGGACAGATGGAGAACTGAATACCCAAGCCTGACCATGTAGACTAAGTGGCAGTGCCCACATTTACAGAAAGTCAACAAAGAGCTGGAGCCACGGTTTATGGGTGTCACTCCTACTTCTTTGTAGATTTTCTCAGAGGATGATAGATAAATTCCTGCCATATGGGTTTTGATTGCGTGCTCATTGATCTTGGTAATGAGACATGGTTAGGTAAGAGGTAAGTAAAAGAATGGAGTAGGGCCTTGGTTTGAAAGGCAGAACCTGTTCTGAGAACTTCATGCGTCTGGAATGAAGCATGGGATGCTGAGAGGAGGAGAGCTGAGGGACATCTTGGTAAAGAATCAGATCATGTGAATATGCAGCCTCCATCTCTGGGGCCAACAGAAACCACAATTAAAAGGTAAAGGGGCATCTGTCTGTGGCTCTCTGTTGGGTTTTGGAGATTGCATCTAGTCATACATACTGATTAACATTTTATTGATAGTGATGGAGTTGCATAAATTTCTCTTACCAAATAGTAACAATAATTCCCAAGGTTTATATGTGGCAAATTCATATGAATCGAATGTCATTTTCATTTAATTTTAATTATTATCCCAATGACAAATTAGCCATTGGCTCCATCTTTAATAAGACAATTCTATATGTTGTAGTTGCTACAGAAAAACAGTTATAGATTTTAAAATAACATCAATTGTTCTTGTATTTACCCCTCCCTTTTCTCTGTTTTTCAGTTAAATTTGAGCATGAGCAATACTTTGAGTTCTTTAAAGGACCCTGTAGAGTTATTCAGCTAGTGATGTAGCTCAAATGGTAGGCCTTGTGTGCATGAGGCTATGAATTTGTCCCCAGTGTCACAAGAAATTCTGAAGAACTATTGATGGGGGAAGTCCTGTGTATATGTCAATAAAGCACTGTTGGCCAATAGGGAAGCAAGATAGGTGGGATTAGGAGTCGAGGAGGACTCTGGGTAGGAGAAACACAAAAAGTCAAGATGTAGCTGCCATAGGATAAGAAGCCCGGGAACTTTTCTCCGGTAAGAGACATACTTAGATGAACAATTATGGGATAGATACTTAAGTCAGAGCTAGCCAGTAAGATACAAGCAAGGTCAACAGCTTCATAATTAATATAGCCTCCTGTGTGTTTATTTGGGACTGATGCGACTCTGGAACCAGGCTGGTGGGAAGGCTTCTCTTTACAAACTATGAATAAGGAAATTAACATTCCAGAAGGAGAGCTGGTGAAGTCTGGGACAGACAGGAATGTTTCTGGATCATGCTTCAGTCTGTACAATGGAGTCCTTGAACTCTGTTCCAAGTCAGCCTCAGGACTAGGCTGGAAGTGACATGGACTCTGTTACCAACACTCTCTTTTCTGACTTTGCTTGGAGGCATTGTAATAAAGACAGTTAATTACAAAGGATGACAATGAGCATTTGTGAATTGCAAGACTAAGTGGTGAGGATAAGAAGAGAGTTTTTAAAAAAAGCAGTCTGTTCTCAGATGAATAGTACAAGCACTAAATCCAGCAGTGGTGAATATTCCTGAAGGAGAAACTCTGGTCATTTATGACGTTCTGTAATCTGGGGTTCAGAGCGGCCTGCAAGAGTGCTTATTTTTACTTTTTGGTCACATTTTCTCTTTTGGCATAAGTATGGGTCATTTAAAATCCAAATTTAGGTGATCTTGAGCCTTTACCAGGCAAGAACCAGGGCATAACACACAGTACCTAGATTAGCTATGAGCCCAATGATTAAAATATGC